ACTATCGTATAATCTGTGAGAACTCTTAGAAAAACAGTCCATTAGATTACAGCAGAAATCAGGTTTCAAGTCGGAAGAGAATTCTAAGCATCAAGGAAATAAAATTTTGTTTAACATTACACACTGAGTAGAAGAACTAGGTTTATATATACAGGAAATAAGATGTATTATATTCCCTGTTGATATCAAATGTTAAATTGATGTACACGCAGATGGTGTTAAAAGCAATATTAAAAGCTGTCATACCCGTAAGGAAAAGTCATTACATGGGGATTGGCCTTATATCTATCCCACGTACCGAATGGCAGCATGTACAATAAAAAAATTCTTCCGAGAATTGGAATTTAGCATACGAGATGTTTTTAACAGACACACACACATATATATATATATATATATATATATATTATATATATATATGCATGCATTGAATACGACAATGTGCTTTTATTTAGTTTTTATAAAATTTCTCATGCGATCTAATAATTTTATTCTTTTCGGATGATAAATTATATAAAACCTGTCCGAATGTTCTTTTTATCCGAGCGCTTTCGGCTATACATTTAGCCATTTTCAAGGATTAAATATTTTAACTGTTAAATAAATAAGAAATAGTTTGTTGTATGTACTTTTTATAAAATGTTTTCATTTTTCAAAGCACGTAAAAAATAAAATAAAATAAAAATCTAACCTTATAGTTAAAAATAATAATTCATCTCCTAGGACAAAATTAAATAAGGCAAATATTATTTACGAATTTAAATGCCCATTAAAATTCTTAAATAATTATATCGGTATTTTTGACACGCAGACTCACTCTACCATTCAAAAAATGGAGTCTAAAAATAATGGAAACCTTATTAATAAAACCAAAAAAAAAAAATACTTTGAACATGGACAAAAAAACACACTAATATCTTCTTGACCGTGTTTTGAAAAATGAAAACATTTTATAAAACATACATACAAGAAACTATTTATTTTTTAACAGTTAAAATATAATCCTTGAAAATGGCTAAATGTATAGCCGAAAGCGCTCGGATAAAAAGAACATTCGGATAGTTTTTATATAATTTTTTATCATCAAAAAAAAAAAAAAAAAAAAAAAAACTTATTAGATCGCATGAGAAATTGTATAAAAACTAAATATATATATATATATATATATATATATATATATATATATGTGTGTGTGTGTGTATGTATTTAGGCAGCAATCCTTCTGTCATGCACATTTCATTGAATACGACAGACAAGGTGCTTTTTTGCTTTTATTTAGTTTTTTATGAAAAATATTGCTAACCACTACATCACCTCGAGGTGCCCCCACCGATACACACACACGACTGAACTACCCGTCTGCACTAGATATCAATTCTAGACTTAAATCGTAGTGGCTTATGACAGAATTTTTAGTAATGATAAAACATGCTATGTGAAACTACTGAACATATATAATAGTGAAAAGAAGTAATTTACGAATGCTGGACAATATCCTCAAATATGAAGATACTTGAAACAACAAAAATGTGGTTCTACAGAAAGATGCTGAGAATACCATGGAGTTTAGGAGAAAATGAAAATAAAAAGGAAACATACTTAACATCAGGAAAAGGCATTTGAAATTTCTGCGGCATATTATGAGGAAGGCGGGCTTGGAAAATCTGATACTCACAGGACATATTGGAGGAAGGCGTAACATACTTGATGTGCTTGAGTAAATGGATGGTAGAACAAGGTTTGAGAGAAATAACAAAAAACAAGATATATTAAGAGCTACAAGGGGTCAGGAAGATGTGTAGGGCCATGATCGCCTACCTTCTGAAGGGACACTGCACATAAAACTTTCTTGTGTGGTCGTTGCTCGGGATTAAATTGTTTCAATATTTTAGATATTCAGTAAATTTCTTATGGTCGTAAGAATTTTCAAATAGTATGGCATTGTTCACAAATTTAATAATTAAACAAAAACATAAATGAAGCGTTAGAGCTCGATTCAACAGCAAGTGCAAATGCATGAGCGCCCCCCTCCTTCACACGTATACTGTAAAGCTGGGATTAATAAGGAGATTGTTTGGGAATTTTTCCCTTTTAACGCGTCAATAATCCTTCTCAAACAATCTTTGCATCAAAAGGTTGCTCGAATACCAATTTAGAATTGAATCATGTGAAGAAACTATTGGCTAAATAGCAAAAACCGATTTTGGACCTCGTTTGTCGCAGATTTCGTCCACTTAACTGAAATAATTTAAACCAAACCTTTCTCGCAAGACAATTTGTGTGTCATACGTTTTGAATATACGCTCCTTTAGCGCTAGAGGCTGTCGTCAGTGATGTTCTAGAAACGGATCATTGGACAGTTTCGGGTCTTTCAAACATCATACTGACCTCACCAAATCGACCCTTTCAGAGCTGATCAGACTCTGAAACACCCTCTAAAAAATACTTGTTTGTGCTGACTTTTATAAGAATACCCCGTAATATCACATTTAGATGGCAAATTTAAAAAGCATTGGATGAAAAACCAGAGAGTTATAACCCAAAAACGGACTTTGGAAAGTTTTGTGATTTTTCGTTATACGCTGAGAAACGTGCGGGGCTAAAACCAAATTATCTTATTTCTTGCATGATGCCAATTTTTTTTTTTTTTTTTTTTGAAGAAGAAGAAAATAGGATTAAAAAATGAGGAAGTAATTCATGTTTTTATTTTGAGTAGTACGAAAACCGATTTTTTTTTTTTTGCAATTTTTTGGGGTGCAGCCAATGTCACAGGAAAACTATCACGTAACATGAGCTTCTTCTTTTTTGCCTTAAATGCAAAGAACATCAACTCATCCAGTAAAAATGTTGTGCGTGTGTAACTTTGCTTTGTTTTTTTGTTTTTTTTGCAGAAAGTTGTACCCACCTTCAGTTTTATCGATTTTTCTGACAAAACCAAGAGTGTGGGGGGTGGGATAAAGATTAAAAAAGTTGGTCTTGACCTACCCTGGTAAATTTGAAACGTATGTACAATTTCATTGAAATCGGTCGAGAAATGTGGACGAGCATAAATAGCACACACACACAAACATCTGTTATATAACAGATGTGTCTGTGTGTGTGTGAGATGGAATCATATTTTTAAATAAATAATTATATATATATATATATATATATATATATATATATATATATATATATATATCTCACGTACGTGCATGCTCGTGCGTCTTTCATAAACCTATTTTTTTGCAAACACTTTTTTTTTTGCTGATCCATGGCTTTACTTCCAGTTGTTTTATGAAGCCGAAATTTGTATTTATGTCCGTCTATTTTTCTTATTGCTTTTCATGAGTTTTCTTCCGTTTCTAAGGTTAAGTGGGTTACAAATGAAGTCAACATTTGCGCGCGCGCGCCCGCGCCCACACACCTTATGCTGAATGTTACACAACTAAAATGATAGGTGACAGCAGCCTAGAGAATTGTGAGTTTCATGCCCTGAATAACAAGAATGAGACTTCATCCCCCCAAAACTCAACCTTCGTTTCTTCTGTCTGTTGTCTGTTGTCATATATATATATATATATATATACCCATTTTTTTTTTTTTTTTTTTCCGTTGAAGGTAGACAAACACGTTTTGTCAAAAGTTCAAAACAAGTAAAAAGATGGGCTGGAAATAGTTTTGATCTATATATAAATAAATCGCAATGTATGTGTGTCCATCTGTTGGTCTGTTTTTCGATCGCGACGGACCTGAAGTAACACGCGATTAAAAAATTAAATAAATAACTCATTTAAAGTTAAATATCGAACAGAGTGAAAGGCTTAAAAAAAACCATTAAAAAGATTCAGCTTTAATTTCGCCTTTCATCGCAAATGTAATTGATATCGTCTGATTAAACCGTAATATAAACTTAAGCGGGGCTCGGCACATTGCTTACCCCCCCCCCCAAGCACTGTGATTAGTCACTCTTAAAAGACATTAGAGGCTCCGAACTATGTGAAAGGATAATAATAATAAAAAAATAAAATAAAATAAAAATAATCAAATCTCGACGGACCTGAAGTAAAACACGATTAAAAATTAAATAAATGACTCATTTAAAGTTAAATTTTAATTTCGCTTTTCGTCGCAAATGCAATTGATATAATTAGACCTTAATTTAAACTGGGCACTTCGACGTGTTGTCATGGTTAGAAAGCTTGTTTTGCAAGATCAATTACGACTGAGTAGTGAGTTCGATCCTCACTGGGTGCCCCATACTTTCGGCCTTGTGCCACATCTAAGCCGGGCATAGAAAATCACTATAGGGCACCTCGAGGTCGTGTAATGGTTAGCAAGCTTGTGTCGCTAGAACGATTATGAATGAGTAGCGAGTTCGATCCTCACTGGGTGCCCCTTACTTTCGACCTTGTGCCACATCCAAGCTACGCTTGGAAAATCACTAATTAAACCTTAATTTAAACTTAAGCAGAGCACGTTACATTGTTTGCTTTTTCTTTTTTCTAGCACGCGTACTGTGATTCAAAATATTACATAGTTCGGGTCCCCTCAAAGAAAGGAATACTGAACTGTTATGTGACATCTGTCCTCCTTTACGGCAGCGAATGTTGGACGATTTCCTCAATGATGAAGAAGAGACTCGAGGCGACGGAGATATGGTTCTACAGAAGGATGCTAAGGATATCATGGACCGGGCGTGTGAGCAACGATGAGGTCTTAGAGGGGATGAAAACAAGGAAAAGGCTTATACTTAATATCAGGAAGTGGCAGCTGAAGTTTCTGGGACACAAAATAAGGAAAGAGGGCCTGGAGAATCTGATACTCACGGGTCGAATAGAAGGAAAGAGAGACAAGGGAAGACAACGCGTGACATACCTGGCGGGCTTAAGCAAGTGGATGACAGCACGTGGACTGTGGGAGGAAGCAGAAGAAAAGAACTTGAGAGCTGCAAAGCCATGATTGCCTACGTCCTGAAAGGACATGGCATATAAAAAGAATGAAAGAAAGAAAGTCTTTTAAGAGGACTTTACGTGAAGGAAAGGAAAGAGAGAGAGAGAGAGAAAGAGAAAAAAGAAAGAGAGAGAAAAGAAAGAGAGAGAAAAGAAAGAGAGAGAAAAAGAAAGAGAGAGAAAAAGAAAGAGAGAGAAAAAGAAAGAGAGAGAAAAAGAAAGAGAGAGAAAAAGAAAGAGAGAGAAAAAGAAAGAGAGAGAAAAAGAAAGAGAGAGAAAAAGAAAGAGAGAGAAAAGAAAGAGAGAGAAAAAAGAAAGAGAGAGAAAAAAAAAGAGAGAGAAAAAGAAAGAGAGAGAAAAAGAAAGAGAGAGAAAAGAGAGAGAAAAAGAAAAGAGAGAAAAAGAAAGAGAGAAAAAAGAAAGAGAGAAAGAAAGAGAGAGAAAAAAGAAAGAGAGAAAGAAAGAGAGAGAAAAAAGAAAGAGAGAAAGAAAGAGAGAGAAAAAAGAAAGAGAGAAAGAAAGAGAGAGAAAAAAGAAAGAGAGAAAGAAAGAGAGAGAAAAGAAAGAGAGAGAAAGAAAGAGAAAAAAGAAAGAGAGAGAGAAAAAAAAGAGAGAGAAAAGAAAGAGAGAGAAAAAAGAAAGAGAGAGAAAAAGAAAGAGAGAGAAAAGAAAGAGAGAGAAAAAGAGAGAGAAAAGAAAAGAGAGAGAAAAAGAAAAAAGAGAGAGAAAAAGAAAGAGAGAGAAAAAGAAAGAGAGAAAAAGAGAAAGAGAGAGAAAAAAAAAGAGAGAGAAAAGAAAGAGAGAGAAAAGAAAGAGAGAGAGAAAAAAGAGAGAGAAAAAAAAGAGAGAGAAAAGAAAGAGAGAGAAAGAGAAAGAGAGAAAAAGAAAAGAGAAAAAGAAAAAAGAAAGAGAGAAAAAGAGAAAGAGAGAAACAGAGAAAGAGAAAAAGAGAAAGAGAGAGAAAAGAGAGAGAAAAAAGAGAGAGAGAAAAAAGAGAGAGAGAAAAGAGAGAGAAAAAGAGAGAGAAAAAAAGAGAGAGAGAAAAGAGAGAGAAAAAAAAGAGAAAAAGAGAAAAGAGAGAAAGAGAGAAAAAAGAGAGAGAGAGAAAAGAGAAAGAGAGAAAGAGAGAAAAAGAGAAAAAAGAGAAAAAGAGAGAAAAAGAAAAGAGAGAAAGAGAAAGAAAGAGAAAGAGAGAAAGAGAGAGAAAGAGAAAGAGAGAGAGAGAGAAAGAGAAAGAGAGAGAAAGAGAGAAAGAGAGAGAGAGAGAAAGAGAGAGAGAAAGAGAGAGAGAGAGAAAGAGAAAGAGAGAAGAAAGAGAAAGAGAAAAGAGAAAGAGAGAGAAAGAGAGAGAAAGAGAAAGAAAGAGAGAGAGAGAAAGAGAGAGAGAAAGAGAGAGAGAGAAAAAGAGAGAGAGAAAAGAAAAGAGAGAAAGAGAAAAAAGAGAAAAAGAGAAAGAGAAAGAGAAAGAGAAAGAGAAAGAGAAAGAGAAAAAAGAAAGAGAAAAGAAAGAGAAAGAAAAAGAAAGAGAAAGAGAAAGAAAGAGAAAGAGAAACGAAGAGAAAGAAAAGAAAGAGAAAGAGAAAGAGCTGAGAAAGAAAGAGAAAGAGAAAAAATAGGCGCAAAATAAAACGAAAGCAATTTATTAAGATTTCTATACAAGAATGCTCAAAGATAAAATAATTTTATTATTTCTTAATTCTCATAACTTTAGCCATACGTACATCGGACGCTGAAGGTAAAAAGCTGAAGTCCCAAAAACCCTTCACAGGAGCTAGCTGAAAGTCCACCCGAAATGCGGTTTCTCGTCTAGTATGAAAATAACACAATCAGCAGAAAGCTATTTTGGGTGATAACTATTGTGGAATGTTAATTTTCAAATCTCGATTTGATAGCATAATGAAAAGTAGGAACTCTAAAATCTTGTTTCTTATACACAAAAATGTTTTGATTTTTATTTGAAATTTTCTAACAGATATTTTTTAGTTTGTCTTAATTTTGTGGTCTTTACAATATCACGCCAAAAATTAAATCTCAGACGTCAATTTATTTAGTCCTCTTCGCTCCAGAATCATAAAGCAAAAACTGTACAAAATAAGAGAAACAACATCATTTGAGAACTTTCAAAAGCAGCAACAACTAAATTGGACAGCACATTTAACTCGAAGAGAAAATAATGACAATCCAGGTGCTGACATCCCACACTACTTCAAAACAAAATGTTATGAAAGAAGCCCCCTATCAATACAGGAGATATAACAGCTACTGGACTCGAGACACCTATTTTCCTGAAAATTATTTTAATAAAGAGATTTTTATTAATTTCGAGCGAAAGTAAGACTGACAGTTTGGTCAATGAATGTCGAGTGTTTTTCTTTTAAGGAAATGTCTAAGGAAGTGTCATTATCATAAGATGAGAGTCTTCAAGAGATTATCAAAGAATGCTATAAAACACTGTGGCTTTGTCTGGAGTGAATTCAGAATTGTTCTGAGTAAATCGGTCAATAACAACGGAAACAGCTCATAAGAATTAAACTTTGTAGAGTCTTTGGTACGCGTCGTTCAATTTCTACTCATTCAGAAAATTTGATCGATTCTCATCCACCAAGAACGGTCTTTCAGTCTAACTCCGCCGAATACCTACATCTGGTAGAAGAACTGTATCGAACCGCATCATTGTAGATGTCTCGTGAAGTTTCAAACACCGAATCCTTTTAAATCTCCCACGAGTATGACATGGAAGAAAAAAGAAAAGATCCCCATTTCCTATTTAATTGCTTCCTAAGCGAGTGAAGAAATGGACACAGATCAATTAAGCACTCCATACCAAATTGATATGTCCCGGAAAAGGGATATATTTGATCGAAGTAGCTAAGTGGTTTAGGCTAATGTAACCGAGTAGAACAAACTAGCAGGTAGCAGTAATGGAACTGGTACTAGTCTTAGTCGTAGGCAATAGGTGTAGACCAATAGGATAGCCAATGACGTAGTCCAATGGGCGTCGTCGTCGACCTGTACTTCTACATCAGCCTGTATTTATGGCTGACACCAGCCAATCATATTTCTGTCGGGGGGGGGGAACACAGGTGTCTGAATATTCATTGCATCACAAATGTTGCGTTCTGGTTAGTCTCTGGGTCCCCCATGTTACTACATAAAACGGTATCAATTAAAAGGACCATTTCTTTTTGTTATTCGTTTTATCAGGAGAGAGTGGCAGCAGCTTGCATCCTAAGAGTCAGTGGGAGGAATGGCGTCACAGGAACGCATGTCGCACGTTTGCTCAGCGTCCCACCGCGGGTGATCTTTGTCGGTCACTCGAACCTGGGCAACGTACCGACGCTTCAGAATTCTTGCAGTCCTTTGTTAAAATGGCGCTGCTTTAGACTTATAAGCGAAAGCCAGACAAAGGCAATCCATCACTGTCAGAATACCACGCCCACTAAGCACTCCGGCGATCGCTGACCATTCTAGCCTTGGCCTTTTCTAGCAAACCCCAAAGGAATCTACCAACAGAAACTGGTCCCCGGAAACCAGTGTACTGACGATGAGAGAGAAACCTGATTGAGTGATATTTTACTATTTATCAACTCTTTGCAGGTTATTTAAATTTTGAGATGATTTAGTGATACAAGCCTTACTAATTAACCCATAGCTGGGGGAGAAAAGGTATTTTGCACGCAAGTGAATATAATGAACCCGACTAAAATTGGAACTGTTCACCGATTAACAATTCGGAACCATTATCCATTACACCAGCCACCCATTCAACCTTACAGCACCCGGTATTCCCAAGCGGTCACCCATCTAGGTATTGGCCAGGCTTGATGATGTTTAAATTCGGTGATCGTAGGGGAACTGATGTTTCAACGCGATATGGCCGTAAACCCACTGTATTGAGGACATACGTATTCATAGTTGATATAAAATATGGTTTGCTTTGTTTTACGGTATATTACCACCTCAGTGGGTTATTTAATGCCAACAAGATTTTTACAATAGATTCATATGAATAGAATATGTACCCTTTGTAAGAAATCAGTTTGTAGATCAGGATTGATTGATTGAGTGATGTATTTTTGTAAAGAGGGTTTTTTGTCGAGAGTCTGGTTTCATTAATGTATTCTTTTCAAATATATAATTGGTAGAGAAATTGATTTTATTGACATTCCCATTTGGTTTATATTTTTGGTAGAGGCCCACTGTTTTAAGAAATAAAATTATGTCATCCACTTTTGCTTTCTCGAAGAGCACATATACATGTTGTTTATATTATAGCATTTTTGTCTTGAGAGAGAGCAAGGTCTGATAATTCTGTTAATATATGTTTAATATTGTATGCCGTTTCACTTGCTTGATATACTGGTTGATCTTCATTGTTTAGTAAGTATGAGTGGCTGATTCTCGTATGACTAATGCGTGGGGGGTGCAGTACTACTACTACTTCCTTTCGAGCTTTTCTGAAAGCCAACTTCGTTTTTTTAGTTTGGGCTGAATTGCGAAAAGTTTATTGTGTGGCTTATCGCCCCAGCACCATTGCCATTCCTTTTGAGTATGAATCTACATACATATCTAAAGCTAATTTGGCTGCTAGGTTTGCTTATTACTTTCCACTCTGATGTGGCTAGGAATCCAACAGTTTATCTTTAGATTTGAAACTAGTGCTCATTTTGCATAATATTTTAATAATGAGTGGATTGTAGGATTTTTTTTCCTTCAAAGCCATTAAGACAGAGAATACGAAAAAAAGTTTTGTTTAATAATGTCGAGAGTTAGCTCTATTGCGTAAGCCTCCGCCGTAAAAATAGATCTTTCCTTTGGGAGGCGCATTATTTTTTTTTATTTTATTTATTTTTTGTTATATTTTGGCTCACCGCTGCACATGTCTTATACTCACACTTTGACCCATCTGTATAAATGGGTGTATAGTTAGGCTAGTTTTCCAATATGCCCTGAAACTTGTCCTGAAATGTGAGTGGGTGCGTGTTTTTCTGTTCGTTTGTTTTTGGGGGGGTGTGTGCGTGTGTGTTGTTTTTTTGTTCGTGTTGTTTTTTGTTGCTTGTGTTGTTGATAGTGGTGTTGTTATTTAGGGAGTTTATTTAATTCTAGCAAGACTTGAGGTTGATGGATTGGCGATGGTGGAATGCTGGCTGCAGTAGTTTCTTGTAAGTCTGAAAATAAGGTCCCTAACTCTTCAGCAATGAATTTCATTCCGAGTCCATAGGGTTGTATTTTATTGTCTTTTTGTTGGAAGAAATCACAATAATTAGGTTTAAAAGTACTGCTGTAAGCTGGCTTAGTTGGGCATGATTTTATTTTGACATAGTACTTTAGTGCCAGTTTAAATGTGGAGGTTTTTCATAAGCGTCTGTGTATAAGTTCTCCACTGGGGCATGTCCTAAAATCTCCAAGCACTAGCCTGAGGCTTTGGCGATCGCTTGCGTTGAGTATTTTTAGGTATGATTTTCTAGCCGCCTCATAAATGAAACTAGCATAATCCAGTTTTGAGCGAAGTAGTGATCCATATAATTTAATTAATGCCGATCTGCTGTCAATTTAGTATGGGCTACCACACGAAGTTGGAAGACGTTACATTTTAGTTTTAAATATTTTAGATTGGGAATGAATGCAATTTTTTGTCAAAGATGATGCCTAGGAATTCGTGTCGTTCCACTACTGGAATTTCTGCTCAGTCTGATTTTAAACAGGGGTCGATGTGCAATTTCCTTAATTTGCAGAAAGGTCGGCATTTGGTTTTTGTTTTGGAAATGGTGAAACCATTTTCCGCGGCCCATTTGTGTATTTTATTGAGGCATTGTTGGCGTTGTCTTTCTATGGTATGCCCATGTCGAGATCTGTACATTATTAGAAAGTTGGAGACATATAGGGAGCATCTTACACCCGAGATTAGAGATTTAACTATGGAGTTAATTTTGATGCAAAAAAAAAAAAAAAAAAAAAAAGGATCACCGAAAGAATGCTCCCTTTTTGAACCCCTTCTTGGTTTTGCAGTTCTGATAGCGAAGTACTTGGAATTCTTCAGTCTGTCAGGAAATTGTCTATGAATTGAGTCAGCCTTCCTTTTAAGCCCAGTTCATATAGATAACAAATTTTCATGTCGTGTCATACGCCTTTTGCAAGACTACTGTGAGATATTCCTTCTTAATGAAGGCTTCCTTACAAAAGTTTCTAGGGGTATTAAGTGGCCTATGGTGCATCATTTTTTTTTTCCTAAAAGCACATTGGAAATCGCTTATTAAACCTCTAGTTTCCAGGTACCAAGTCAAACTGTTATTGACCATTCTCTTCATAGTTTTACACCGGCAACTGGTTAGTGCTATCGGTTTGTAGTTTTCAGTGTGTGTCATCCTTTCCGGGTTTTGGAACAGGGATAATGAAGGTCTCCACATCTCTTGGAAGTTTCCAGTTGTCTATGTCATTATACATTCTTAACAGTTGTATGGATTTGTTGGTTAAATGTTTTATGAATTCGTAGTGGATGTCATCTGGGCCCACAGCTGTATTGCGGGCTTTCTTTAAAGATTCATTTAGTTCCTCCAGAGTGAATGATAGGTTATCACTGTCGGCATTATTTGATTTAAAGTTTAGTTGTCGTTTTTCCGGTTTTGTTTGATTGGTTTGCTTTACAGCATATCAACCTTAATGGGTTATTTATTGCCGACAAGATTTTTAGGATAGATTCGTATGAATAGAATATGTATTCTTTGGTTTAGATTGGTTTGTTTTGTTTTACGGCATATCAACCTCAATGGGTTATTTAATGTCGACAAGATTTTTATTGTTGGTAATACTTTTTTCAAAAAGTATTTTGGTTGTATTTTTTCCAAAAATTTATTGCTGGTAATTTTTTTTTTTACAAAGTGTTTTGCTGGTATTCAAGCCTTTTATATTATATTATATTATACTATACACACACACGCACGCTTTGACCTCAGGTTGGGGGTTAACTATTTGCCCATAGCTGGGAACCTAACAGGTGCTATCACCCCGAGTCAGGGTGAACCTGGGAACATCAGCAATTAAGAGGTAGTCCCACGGTCCTCAAAATCCCCTTATCAGAGGCCTTGCTGTCGGATGTACTTTGTCTTACCCAGGACGGCTTTTTGCTTGAGCTTTAGAAATTGTTGGCTACCAAAGTCTTACTTTTTTTTTTTTTTAGCTGCTGAATTTTTGGGAATACATTTTTTTTTTTTGTTATAGTGATGAGGATTTCCGTTAAATATTTTAAGTCCTTCATGTTTTTTCCTTTAAGTACTTTTTCAGAACATTGGTTTTTAAATTCTTTCCAGTTCGCTCTGCCTATTTCTGTCATTATGTTCAGAGTTTTGTAGAACGATTGGCAAGTGATCACTACCGCATGTGTCTGCTAGTACCTACCAAGAGAAACTCATATAAATTGATGGATCATATAAGGATAAGACTATTGCCGAGTAGGTGCCAGAAAATTGATTTATACAAGTCTGGCTTTATCGTTATAAATGCATAAATCGTTGTTATAAATTATTGTTTCAAAGTCCTTCCCTTTTCGTTTGTGTCTTTACAATCCCATATGGTGCTGTGACACTTAAAGTCCCCTAGTATCATAAAAGGGGCAGGGAGTTACTTGATGACTTCCTGAATTTCAGTTTCATTCGGTGGGATATATACAGAGCAGATGTTTATTGGCCGATGGAAAGTCACTTTAACAGCAGACACCTGTAAAGTCTTTACATTTATTTCCTTTGAGGTAGATCATTCCTAACTTGGACGAAGTACCGCCTAAGGGCAGTGTCAAGTACATAGTTGTGTTTTTCGTATTCTTTTATATTGTTATTTTGCTTAAGGAAGGTTTCTTGAAGGCAAACAACCGCTGGTGACAGGTCTTATTAACAGAAGCAATTCATTTATATTTGCCTTTATTCCGCGACACTTCCATTGAGTTATTTCATACATGATTGCTAAATGTTTTGGGGCTTTAGCTTACAATGTGGTTGGGATTTAATTTTCCGACATTTTGAGTTTGGAGGTTTTGGCCGTTTCTGGGTTCTAGCTTTCCACCTCCATTTCTTCCAGTTTGCCAAATCCGTTTTGGGTAAGAATTTGGTCGCTGTGAATTTTTTGTTTTTGTTTGATTAGTTCTGATTTTAGGAGATAAATTCTTAAGTCTATCTTTGATGGGTTTTGGTGGACGGATAGGATATCGCTGTGACCTTTGCTTTGTAAGAGATTTTGTATTTTTTGAGAAGTGGTTTGTGTGGTAGATTTATTTATTTTTATTTCAATTCTTTCACTGGCTTTTCTTTTCAGTTTGCAGTATCTGCTTGGAGTATATGTCCTACAGGTAGTTTTTTGTGCTAGTCATTTAGTCCCAAGTGTACACGATTCCCAATGCAAGCTCTGCATTTCTCAGATTGACTGGTATTCGTTATAGTCCTTCCTTGCGTTATTTTTGCATAGGAAGGGCCTTTCATGCCTTGCCTCCACGAATGAGACATTTCGTTTATCTTTCAACCTCAACTATATTTCAGAAGTCTCATGATCAGAAGTATGCTGGATGGCTTTCCCTGGCAGCACATCTTACTTCACAGTGGCATTCTTCTTCCGTATAGTCGGAATCTTTTTGGCCACATTTTCCACATGTTGGGCGACTACTGCAGCTATCCCTATGATGACCAAATTTTAGACACTTAAATCACCTTAGTGGAGCAAGAACATATTGTTCCACTGACTCAATATTGTACCAGGCTTTTGTTCGACAAAAGAATATACGTGTCTGTCATGGTTTCTTTCCTTTTAATAGTGATTCTACGGTAATCACTGACCCCCTGGCTTCCCTGTGATTGCCTCAGGCGTGGCCAGAGACAACTCTCTGCTTCTAATAACTCCCTTAGAAGTGCTCAGCCTTTCATGGGGCAAGGCTTTTATTTTGAGGTCATGAAAGTTCTTCAACTTGAAGAAACTTTCGGCGTGTTCACTATTTTCCACATCTACCAGCAAATTGTTTTTCAGTTTCTTTAGTGTTTTGGGGATAATCCTACTGGATAATCCCACTGGATAACACTTTTTCAATTAAAAGGAGAAGTTTTGCTAGAGGAGCTTCTTCTAGGGAGAAATCTTGGAAAGTCAAATCTTATTTCTTTTTCAGAATCAGAGTCTGAAAGATCTTTTTTTTTTTTTTTTTTTTAATGTATTAAAATTCACTGCATGTGCTCCCCACCGACCTCGGAGCCAGACGCGTCAAGAGGGAGGGAACCCAGCCGCCTTGACAGGTCTACACAAACCAATATACTCGTGTTCGAGAGAGACTGACCACTCGTTAAGCAATATTTGCACTTCCCAAACCTTACAGAACAAACTGATATATTTACAGCCATGTCTAAGGCTTGAATTCTTCAAACAGATTGATCCCCGATCATCGCCTTCTAATGCGTAGAAATTAGACACATGGTATTTTATCGAGTTGGGCCTCTCCGATCGCCCGTCTAGTCCAAGTAAGGGCCAAAGTGGTATGTTGGAAATCAGAAATATCTAACCCTGGCTCCTGAAGCCCTCAACCACTAGGATCCTGTACCCAGAGATTACGGGTCGCCACCGACGGCAAACAGGTGACCTCATGGGGAGAGTCGTTACCCCTCTGCAGAGGTACAGTCGGCGTATTCTTAAGCCCCAGCCGACAGGGCGGCAAAAAGCAGGACTCACAATAAACCTTTCCAAAATAGAAATGAAACCCGTATGTGGAACTGAAATGAAAGTAGTGATGGCACCTAACCTGAATCCATAAAAAAAGAAAAAGAAAAAAAATCAGAATGTGCAATTAATAAATTCTAAGCACTTCAAATACCTCGATTTGGTTTGGTTTGTTTTACGGCATATTAACCTCAATGGGTTATTTAATGCCTACAATATTTATTGCTGGTAATATCCCCCCCCCCCAAAAAAAAACATGCACTGCTGGTAATAATTTTTTCACAAATGTTTTGCTTGTATTAGAACCTATTTTACACTTTCATGGTGTTTTGACCCCAGTTTGGGTCTTAACTATTTGCCCATAGCTGGGACCCTAACAGGTGCTACCACCACGGGTCAGGCTGGACCTGCGAGCACCAGCAATTAAGATGTGGTTCCACGGTACTCAAAACTTCCCGATCCTTGCTGTTGGATGTAATTTTATCATCTTACCAAAAACGCCTCATTTGGGGGTGGGGCGTCTTGCCCCCTCTACAGAGGAGCAGTCTGCGTATTCTGGAGCCCCAACCGACGGGTCGACAAATACCTCGGTGTATGGACCAGTTATGATGCCTTTAGTATAAGAGATGAGGAAACTGAACAGGGGATACGTTGCACTCGGGGTAGTTTTATCTAACAGCGTAAAATGCAAAGGCCAAATATTCATCTGTGAATTCGAGTCATGTTCTTAAATAGCTTCGTCAAATCCATGTCCCAAAACGGACAGTTGCCAACGCACTACAGATAGTAGTGAGAAAACATATCACTTCTGATAAAAAGAGGGTTTTTTTTTTTCCATATTCTTCATGTGAAAGTTCATAAAATAATAAAACAAATGTTTATTTAACAGTTTGAAATTTTCTTCGCATTGGGCAAGTTCGACATAGTTTAAGCAAAACAAGGTGCCGCCTGCAGTTAAGATGATTTTAGACTTACAAGCGAAACCTTCAGTGCGTGCTCAAACGGTGAGGAGGCGTATATGTGTGCATTTGTGGACACGTGTGCACATATGTGAGTCTCTTGCATGAATTGTTCATGTGATTTTCCGACCGAAGGCAGATTTTCCTTTTGTTTTAAATAATGCTTCACATTGTTTCTAAGCTTCTATATAGTTAAAAAAATAAATAAATAAATAAATAAATTAAAAAATAAATAAATAAAAATTTTTTTTTTTAAAATCGTTTGCGTTGGCATTTTGTGTGTGCGTGTGATTTTGCTTTCTTGGTAATGAGGTAACCGCCTCCATTTTTTTTTTTTTTTATATTACTTACTCATGGGAGAGGTCAGCAGGAAGTGTGTCAGTTTTAATGGAATCCAGACGGGGTCCAGTCTCCAACAAGTAATGCCATTCTCACACTTAACGCATCAGCTGCTGCTGCTGCTGCGGCGATAATTTAAGTAAGAATGGAACGAAAACGTAATTAAATTTCTACAAACGAATTTTCTGGAAAACCTTGTATAGCATTTTTTTTTTTAGCGAGAAAAAAAAAATTATGAATCATCGCAGAATACAAACAATACTACCATATAAAAAATAACACAAAATCTTGAAAATTACGTTCATGCTACACCTCCGCAAAAAACAAAAAACAAAGCACAAACGCATTGACGCAAATGTTATTCCAGTCGCCTTGAACATATGTTCATACTTTTATATCCCGTAATCCCACCCCACACACTTTTAGTGGATACGCGTATTTGAAATAGAAGCCCAGTTTTTATTTTCAAGTGTGATAAGTCTCTTGGCCTGCACACAAGACAAAATCTTAAGAAAATGTTCGATAATGTCAAACTGGCAGCTGATTTTTTTAAAATCTTTTTTTTTTTTTTTTTTTAACTAGGGCAAGGAATGGTTTGCTAATTCCAACGCCCCCACTACCACCAAAAAAAAAAAAAAAAAAAAAAGAAGAAATTGCTCACTTTTAATCGTCTCAGAGAACCCTCTTTACCTTCCATTAGAAGGACTGGTGCTAAGCTCCAGAAAAGGTACTCATTATACTTTCTCAGACTAATGTTTTCTGCGGGCATGAGGTAGAAAGATTATATTGAATCAATTACTAGGTCTGTTGCTAAGAAACTTGCTTCTCAGTGTCGTGCTAGGCAATTTTTCTCGTTAGAATTTATCTGGCATTTATAGGTCTACTATTCGTCCATTGAATATTGAGGTCACATCTGGCCTGTTGCTATTGCTGTATATTTAGAAATTCTTGATAAAATTCAAAGATTATGCAATGTTATTGGTCCTGACCTGGCATCTCGCCTTCAGTCAGTTTCCCAACGTTGTAATGAAGATTCCCTGTGCCTTTTCTATAAATACTTTCATTGTAATTATTCTGATTAACTTTCCTCGATACTACATTTTATGAATTTAAGCGCAATACGATATTGGCAGCAAGGTTTCATTTTACAGTTAAAATGGCGGGACGTAAGTTACAGGTTAACAGTTTCCTCTATCGCACATCTCGCTTGTGGAACTCCCCCGACTTCTTCCCCTCCCCAGTCAACTTTGATCAGCAAAAAATTTAAATGCAGTGTCAATAGTTATCTACTGTCTTCATTCCTGTTCTTTTAATGCGCTTTTCTCTCTAATGTTTTTTTTCTCGTATTAGCTAACACTCACTAACCCCTTGCGTCTTAGTGGCTTTATTGCTTACTTGGAGCGGAGTGATTTAAGAAAGAAAATGCTCTCCAGCAGTGTTCGAATATTATATAATATATATATAATATATATATAATATATAATATAATATAATATAAATTACAACTTTTTATATTCCGTAATATCCCACTGAAACACCAGTTCTCTTACGATCACCGAAGTCAAGCAACGTCGAGCTTGGTTAATACCAAGATGGGTGACCGCTTGAGGATACCTGGTGATGTATATGATGACGGCTTGAAATTGTAAATCGGAGAGCAGAGTTCCAAATCCAGTCGGGTTCGTTGTATCCACTTTCACAAAATACCTATGAGAAAAGGTATGAATTAACCCATAGCTAGGGGAAAGATGGTTTCATACTTTTCCCCAAAAGTATTTGCGCGTAAGTGAATATAACGAACTCAACTGGAATTGAAACTCGGCCCTTTGATTTTCAGTTCTGAGCCGTTATCTATGTATCGACTTTTATCAGTAAATCATTTTCCATTCAATATTCTTACAATGCAAAAATATTTTCTGGATTTAAATAACCTACAAAAGGCTGATAAGCTATAAAAAGAAAAAAGGAAGAAAAGGAAAAAAAGAAGCTAAAACCGTAATATCCCATGCTATATATCGCATTACATATAAATATCTTCCAACTACCTTCACATTTTCCCACCGTTGATTTTCTTGGATATAAACTTTTCAAAAGCAATTTATGATTATCAAAAACTTGTATTAAGAGATTTTTTTTGTATTCCTTGAAATGTTCTGTTATAAAAATGATTTTATAGCCAGTGTGAATCGAACTTCATTCAGAATTGCTGTTTGACGCATTTTATGCTCAGACTTTAATTCATAAAACGGTTTTTTTTTCTTTTTGCAAATCGATACACAAGTGAAAAGAAAAAAAAAGGAATGGGCTTTCGAAGTCATTGAACGATATATAAAATCTCAATCATTTGGTTTACTATTTGCAGGAAAGAAACACAGAGAGCCTGTAAAAATAATATCTCATTAACAGTTATACAGATTTGTCTTTCCAAGCCTTGTACTGTTTTTAATGAATACATCTAAAGAAACCCTAATAGGTCACCAGATCAAAATAACCCTAATTCGATACGGTCTTGAAAAAAATAAATAAGTCTCCTGATCAATGTAGGTTTGTGGAGTGAATGAAAAAAAAAAAAAGAATTACCTCCCAGAAGGAATCTGAAATAGGTGAATAGATAATTAAATATATTAGAAAGACGAAACGCAGTCTCCGGAATGTAAAATTGGTTCGGGGAAAGAAAGAAAAAAAAAAAAAAACAAACCGAGAAGAGAATTTATTTTCGCAACGGTTGATGGGGAGAAGCATAGCCAGCTGCTAATCTCACTAATGACTATTGTGATAACATCAGACATGTGCTCGATAACGTGCGTGTTTAGATTTAGTACAGGCTAAACTGAAACGCATAACTCTTTGGTAAATAGAAGCAAAGATAGAAAGCAATCATGTCATATGTTTTGCTATACAAGATGATGACGTGGTAGCTTTCGTCAAGAGCATGTCGAGTGTAGTGTCTTATCCTTCTCTTGTCACTTTCGTTACTGCTGTCTTTTATTGCTTCCTCTCATCATTTCTTCCTGTTTTTAAGATGTTTTATTTTTTCAAGTTTTCGTACAGGAAAATGACGCTATTAATTAGTTATACTGGCTTTTTAGTCTTTATTTTATAATTAATGTTGAGTGGCATGGGAATTATATTGGAGAAGGTATGAAAAGAAAGTAGCTCTTTCAGTTGTAGCCTTTTTACTGTATCTGGGCTGAAGCTGTACAATCCTCACTATTTTCAAAATCGTTTACTTGTACGTAATGACATAAGCAACGTACGAATTTGACCACTACTTGGGTGAATTCATTTATCACAGAAATTACTGCTTAAGTGGTTTCTTAATTTCCTATGCTTGATTCTCATCATTGCTTGGCTTCGCTAAACAAATACCAAGATGAAGTCTGTACGCGTTGCTTGCAGGCACGTTTGTGACTAATACGTCCAATGCTGGACAGGCATACACGGTGGCAGCAGTTGTAGCTGAAAGTCTGGCCTGGGTTCGATGGTATGGCGTTGCAGTACTTCCTCCTCTGCCACTTGTCCCTGACAGCGGCTCTGCAGGTATTTTCAAAAAAGGAGACTAATATACAATAATACACGTATCTACTGATTTCGACTAAAAACGCCAAAGAGATACTAGCAATATATATATATATATATATATATATATATATATATATATATATATATATATATACACACACACGCAATTATAACTTTATTTGTATTTGCGATAGAAATAATCTGTAAAAAATGTTTAATGTACCTAGTTTTAAGTATAGCTAAAATAACTAATGTTATTTCAGGCATTACTGTAAATCATTTGGTAAATGTTTTCCGTGAACTGCAAAATCGTATTACCCTTTGTATTGCTAATGATGGAGGACATGTGGAAACTTAAATAAAATTTCAATAAAACCTTAAAAAATATAGATTTACTTCTTTCTATCTTTTTTACAAATTATTTCTATCGCAAATACAAATAAAGTTATAATTTTTAAAGTGCACACGAACTTTTTAAAATTATGAACTCTATGGACGCCCTGTATATATACACACACGATTCATCGCTATCATCATGGTTTGACTTCGCAAAACGAAGACGAAGATGGAGTCTGTACACGTCGCTTGCAGGCACGTTTGTGACTTCTAAGTCACAATGCGGGACAGGTATACACGTTTGCAGTAGTTTCAGCTGAAAGTCTGGCCTGGTTTCGATGGCATAACATTGCAATACTTTCTCCTCTGCCTGTTGCTCTGAGAGCGGCCCTACAGGTATTTTCAAAGGAGACAACATGGTTGGTGGTGAGACGTGAGGCGTCACTCTTATCTAGGGTTGACCATTGGCAATGGTTCATGTGACAAGCACCAAATGATTTTTTCAGGCGATCTTTGAATCGCTTCTTTGGTACACCTCTGTCGCGATAGCCAGTGGAGAACTCGCCGTACAATAAAATTTTAGGCAAGTAATGATTCTTCATCCTGGAAACATGTCCAGCGTAGCTGGGTCTTCAGAAGCATGGGCTCGATGCTAGTAATCTTCACCTGTTGAAGGACTTCAATATTGGTGAGAAAGTCACTCCTGTGGATGTTATCGATTGTGTGGAGGCAGCGTTGATGGAACCGTTCGAGGAGTCGCAGGTTGTGTCGGTAAGTGACATGCTTGGTTCTAATAACTAGAAAAAGACATTTCAACCTAACTATTAGTTATATGCGCTTCAAGGACATCTGAAAACGTGACAACGGGCGATGGACATTGAGATAGGGAAGACATCATCAACGTTCGCTCACGCTGGAGACGAGATTTACACAAAGAGTTGGAGCGAGAAGGGCAGAAACGGTGTCTTGCCGCTGTAGATAAGCTTGCTCGGCGGACAGAAAACATGGCGACATCGAAGAGAATCTTCACATTCATTCGTTGCAATCAAGACTGTCACTCCCGTGTGGTCCTGTACAGCCGTAACAGATGCTGCACCACCATCACCAACTGGGGACGAAATCTTTGGGCGCAGACCCATGGTCTCTCGAGACCGACAGTTACCACATATCGATTAGTAGAATTAGTAAAAATATCGAGTATAAAATAGTATATTTAGTAACTCTTGTTTTAATCTTAAACAATACATTTTGAATTCGTCTTGGGTTTAACCCGATTATATATGGTGCCCAAGTAATTGTGCATGCACTTAATCCTCCCTGCGTACCAAGCCTAATATATTTAACTAATTTGTACCATAACAAAAAGTATTAATTCTTCGTTATGATACAAAATATTGTAGTCTAAGGTATTAGGATTGGTACCCAAAGAGGATTAAGACTGTCAACTAATTGGTGATTCTCTAAGCATAGCTTCGATGTGGCACAAGGTTCAAAGTATGGGGACCCCCATGAGGATCGAACTCAGTCGTAATTGTTCTAACGAGACAAGCTTGCTAACCATTACACCACGTCGGGGTGTCCCACGCCCATACCCAAATAGTTGGGTGCCATGCATGAATAAGTTAAGCTCAAGACGAATTCAAAATGAATTGAACTTGGTTAAACCACTGACTTTAGTAACGGAATTGCTTAAAATTTGAATACTGTGAGTATCAGATTTTCCAAGCCTACCTGCCTCATTACGTGTCCTAGAAATGTTCAACTGACTCTTCCTGGTGTAAAGTATAGGTTTCCGTTAGTTGTGGAGTTGCATTTATAGAAAAATCGGATAGTAAACCTTCCTAGAAAAACATTCTATTGTTTTTGTGCGCGTATATATATATATATTTCAGTTGTTATTTCATTTTCTATTGCAAATGCTTCGCGTTATTTCAATGACAAAGAGCTAAAAGATGTTCATTTTTAACCTATAATTACTAAGAAAATTATGATCAAGATTTTTCACGAAAACCTTTAATCAGCTCATATTGCGATGTCTTACTGCGCCTCACCAAAATTCCATTCAGGATGTCAATTTTTAAGCTTACTAATCATACAAGGGTGGGCTGTGTATATAAAATGGTTGCCGGCTTGTAAAATAAAACCAGCGAGCAGAGTTCAAATTACTTTGACCCGTTCGCTTTCGTACTAACGCCTTTGGAAACGGAATGAACCAATTTCTTCCGCCAGATATAGGTTAAATAATACAGTAAACTAAGCTCTCTAGCCTTGGATAGCAGCCAGTCTAGATGAAGGATAATTCTGAATTTAAAACCTTAAAGATGACAGGAAACTACAACGCTATCTTTCCCAAGAAATCTTTGAAAATCTATGGTTGCTTCTTTTATGTGCAGTTTCCCTTCAGGACGTAGTCAATCATGGCCCTTCACATCTTCCTGTGCCTTATAGCTCTTAACATGTTTCGTTTTTTGTTATTTCTCCCAAACCCTGTCCTGCCATCCATTTGCTTAAGCCCATTAATCAGGTCACGCGTTGCTTTCCCCTGTCATTTTATCCGTCCTGTGAGTATCAGATTTTCCAAGCCCACTTTCCTCTTTTCTTTTTGTTTCCATCCTCTCCAAAACCTCGTCGTTGATCACATGTTCGGCCCATGGTATCCTTAATATCCTTCTGTAGAACCACATTTCTGTTGCTTCGAGTCTCTTCATCTTTGAGAAGATTTTGCAGCATCCGCTGCTATACAGGAGGACAGATATCACGTAATAGT